TATTGGAATTCATAATTCCTAGGTAATAAAACAATTGAACACTTTAAGAATTTTACCTAGGAATTCCCATATTGTACAATTGGTAAATAAAGGGTGTTTCATTTTCTACCTGTGGGTCTTTAAGAGGATTGTTTTTTACTTTCACTTGGCATTACAGATTCGTTGTGGATGTTGCAATTATTAATTCTGAGTTCGTATAAGAGAACGTCCTCTTGAACTTCAAAGGATTGTGCTAAAAAATATAGTTTCGAACTATTACTTCTCATCAGTTCTCAGCTCCACTCTCAACTTTCGTTCGAGACTATTGGTTTGGCAGCAATAAGAAGGAAAATCGATACTATCGATATTTTCACCCAGAAATCAATCGTATATCAAAAAAGGCGCTGTTTCATTTTGCACACGATATATAGGGTGCGCGTATATTTGGTGACACTTGGCACGCATGATGGTTGTATATTTTCTTCTAGGTGCATATCTTTCCTGTCGCTGATGAAGGACCAAAGTGTCTGTCCGCCAGTAATGAATAATTTCTATCGTAGGATATAGTTCGCTACAACTTCTTCGTCATACATCCTTACTCGCATCGACATTTCACATTTCAAAGCTTGCCAACCATCATTCGAACCAATTTTTCTGCAGACAATCCTATATCATAGTGTTCGCAGTGATTTTAGATTTATTCACTGAATAAATGGGTGTCAATTAATAGTTTCGATTATTTTGTTTATATCTGGTAACCCAACGTTATAGGCTTCGTACATTCGATTGGTATGAACTCTGTTCACTAAACAAACAAGTGTAATGTTTATTTACTCATAGTTCGACCAAGAATTTCTCAGCCAACCCACTCACGATTGTCTTTTCAGCATACAACATTTTATATAAATTACTTTTCATCGATTAAAAAGTTCGCTTCTGATTCGGATCTCAGTCTAGCTTGTTACTATTTCCAAACGAAAAGAGCTGGATTTACAGCATCCACCACTAACCTCTCTGCCCTTCTTTCAATTTTTTTACCAGCTGCGGATGCACATCTTCACCGGTAACAGGAGGTTGCATATCTTAATGAGGATCTAGAGGTAATATCGAATTGGGGTGAAAGTAACCAGGTTACCAATGTGTTTCGCACATATAAAAAAAATATAATTATATATAAACTGAAGGATGGTGGCCAAGACTCCGATATGAAAAATGTCAAAGATATAATTGGAGCTATTGCGCCGTCAGTAAATACTGAAGATATAAAAACGTTCAGGATTGGAAGAAGAGGTGTTCAACCACCACCACTGAAAGTAATTCTGAATAGACGAGAAGACGTCTTTATGGTATTGAAAAATAAACAAAATAAAAAATTTCAATTTCTACGTTCAGATTAGTACCGATAAGACAATTCTTCAACGTGAATATTTGAAAAAGGTTCTTCTGCAATTTAATGAACGAAAACAAAATAGCGAGGATAACATACACATTAAATATGTTTATGGCGTTTCTTCTATCAGTAAATCAAAAAACTCAATACAAGATTCGGTCACGTGAATATCCGTTCTTTGAATAATTGTTTTGGTGATTTCAAAGACTCTATCAATAATAACGAAATTTCAATAACTGGAGTAACAGAAACATGGCTCGCTCCAGAATATCCAGATACATTTGTTACTATACCTAACTTCAACTTGATACGTATGTGCCGTGATGGCAGAAGTGGTGGAGTATGTTTTTTCATCAAATCGTTGTATAAATACAAATTATATTGCTCTTCTATTTCGGCAAATGGTCTAGAGTAGCTATGGATTATAGTCAATATAAACAAACAAAAAGTAGCCTGTGGAGTTGTTTATCGCCCATCAGGAACAAATATAGAGGACTGTATGCAGGAGTTAGCTGATGTACTGGAACGAATGTATTTGGAAACATCTGTTGTGGTGTTAGTTGGTGATATTGATATTAATTTGTTGAACTGTGACTCTCGCGACACTCAACTATTCACTGCCCTAGTTTCTTGTTTTGATATGAATCAAATTGTAGAAATTTCCACTCGGATAACAACAACTTCTGAATCTCTGATTGATGTCATTTGCATTAGTAAGGAAAAAATGGTAAGAAATTCTAATACACTTGATAAGAATGGTATAACTGATGGTATTTTGCGATATTGATTTCGAAGATACTTATGATACCTTGATTTTTTATAGAAATTTCGATAATTTCAATCATGAACTTTTCTCTCAAGATGCTGCTAACTTACCACGGGGTGATATTCTGACTATGCAAGATATTAATTCCAAAGTAAATTTTCTCAACGAATGCATCATTATGCTTTTTGACAAACATGCTCCAATTTGAACTGAAAACATAAAGCATCCCCGTATATAACTTATAATATCAAATTGATGATGAAAACCCGTGATAGAGCTTATGCCAAATATCTTAAAGAAAAGACAGCAGCCGCTAGACAGTACTATAAAACTTTACGTATCAATGACGCAATAAAACTTGAAAAAACAGCATATTTACAATTTGTTTTGGACAAAAATAAAAACAATTCAAAAATGTCATGGAGAATCTTGCAGTATGGGGTGTTACTACAAAATCATCCTCGCAAACCAATAGCCTGCCAATTGAACTACGTAGACCTGAAGAAATCAATGACTATTTTTTAAACGTGGATGGACATTCAATAGTAAATGATTACACTCTTTCATTCTACGATAATAATAAATTGAACGCTCCTATGAACTTTTCTCTCACCGATATATATGATGATGATATTTTGACTGCTATCAAAGAAATAAAATCTAATGGTTTAGGTATTGACACTATAAATATCAAGATGATTTCTTTAGTGATACCACACTGTATTGATGAAGTTGAACATATTTTCAACGAGGCCTTCAGACAGGGTATCTTTTCAGATGTTTGGAAGGTTGCTAATATAATTCCAATTCCGAAAAAGAATGCACCTACCACGTTCAATGNGTGGAAAGACAAAAACTATTAATGTACTTGATACTTTATTCAATTTGTAGTTTCTATAGCATTTCCTGGTGAACTCGACAAGGCTGAAATAAAAAAAATGTGTAATCCTCAAGAATGTGTCTCCATTGAAATTACCTTCAATGGAGAACGGTCCAACAATATGATTACCAAGAATACCGGTCCAGACATTAAATTTTTGTGGAGTTTGTGAATGCGTTTCCATCACCAAATGAGGATTCACATCGCTCCAGTAACGACAATTGAGTATGTCTCTCCTCTTCACAATTCAACATGAAAGAACTTTCGTCTGAAAAACATGTATTGCATAATAGGTTTGGGTTATTGGTAATTTTCAACTCCGCCATTTCTGACAGGACGGTATACTTCATGTTTTCTGTTGTGAACAGAACCTGAAGTTCGAAACTTATCCATTAACTGTCTAACGTATTAATGGCTCATGTTGTGGAACCGGATGATTCGTATTATAAATTGCAGCAGCTTCAGCACATTCATTATTTCGATAATAGCTTGCAACAATTTCTATTCTTTCTTCAGTAAAATGAACCGTGTTGGGATACAGTGAACAAGGATGACTGAATAATAATTCGTGAAGAAGTGACAGTTCTGCGACAACTAGATTCAACAAAAACTACCAGTGCAGAAAAAGCTAACAGTGTCGTCCATTTCGAAACGTTTACTACTAATTAAATAAATTCTACTTCTAGAAGACCTGCGACAGAGAATTGTTCGGGAATGCCGATTTCTGACTCTTCAATAATGTAAGGAACGCTTTCGAAAGTAGACTGTATTATTGTATGGAACTAGATGGAGGTCATTTTGAACACTATATGCCATTGAAAAAATGGGGGTGGGTAGTTGCTGACGGCAGAGGGGTGAAGTTTCGGGTACTATTTTCCATATCAGAATTAGTCCCTCTAGAAATGAAAATTGACGTATCCTTTGAAATTTTCGGTTACGCGTTCGTTTTTGACTTTTAGGACGGTCAAGTTTTCGTTGGAACGTCCTGTATATATTTTGTTGAGTTCAAATTTCAGCTACAATTTAATATCATACTACAAAGCATCTTCCGTATGAAGTAGACCTTCTTAGTTGCTCCATTCCAACTTGAAAATGTCCAGTTCGGCTCGGATTGCTGCATGAGGAAAACAATTCTGGATTTATTTTGTATTTTTTCAGGAGAAACATTTCATCAAATTGTTAAGGGATTCCATACATAGGGTGGGCAGTTACAGTTGACTACAATATCATTGATGAATGATAAAGAGAGGAGACGACCCAAATTCGATCCTTGTGGTATTCCAGATTATGTCAAGAAGCAATACAAATTTCCCCGCTATAGGATATTCACTGATACCTACCTCGAAGATACTAGTGGAGAGATCTTCATGAAATATCCTACATAATTAATAGTACCTACACAAGAAACTCCCTGTAATCATATTGTAGATTATTTTTTCTTTCATATATTTTTGACAATAATTGAATTTTCAGAGCAACAGTTTATGGAGTATAATTTTGCAATGGAAATTTCAAAAAATATTTTTTCGGCATAGATACTACAGTCATTACATTCAAATGTTCAACTTTCTTATCATAACTGGAACATACTCTAAAATATATCAAATCACATCTGATGGTCATACTTTCACCAAAGATATAAATCATTCTGACTTACCATTCCGTGTAATTAAGAAAAGAAATCTTGGAGCGAAACAATAGGATCTTCCTAACCAATAATTTGTTCGTATGTTAATCATGGAAAGTTTCAATTTGGAATTTCAGCACTTAGTATTCAGGTAATCCACTAAGAGGAGTGTTGAAGAGAATTGAGTTGGCCGTGTTTCAATTTGCCAGATGACAGACATTTAAACACACAATAACATTTTGGCCTCTTTAGTGAACAATAGTCTCATGATTGTGATGAAGAATAACATGAGAGAATTTCTATTGTTTGATAAATTCGATTTCAAAGCTCATGTAAAAATATCAGCATAAAGTGAGAAAAAAGGATTTTTTTTAGTATTTTTTTGCTATTTTGAGTATTTTCATATAATTTTATTTACATGTGAACTACACCCTATCTACGAGACTAGGATTCACTCCTGAAAGATTGAATATGGAGCAGAGTTGATAAAATCACTTTACTTTATTTCAGACCTGACATGTCAAATTTTTTTTTCAAATAAATATCTTACAAACAGACCCTCAAGTAGTATACGGACAGCGTAGATTACACTTTCTATCATCATAAATAACAACAACTAAATAATAAAAAATAACTTACTTATCAATAAGGTTAGATCATGCTAGCAACAGCAGAGACAATGCCTTTACTAGCACGAATGATCGACAATGAGTTGATGAGTTAATAGTTAAATAATGAGATGACGGGGTGGAGAGAGCTAGGGCATATTTGCCAATGATTCCTCATGAGCTGTTTTAGTAATAATTATCGATTTTCTCGTTAAATTCGATCAGCATTGACAAATATGCAAGCAAATGCTGTAATAGGACTAGGATTGGATCAAGAAGGTGGTAGGACATTGAAGAAAACGTCTCCCTGCGACTAAAATGATTACTCGCGAATGAACCACTTGCTAAACCTGAACATCTTTGGAACCTTTGGAATGCACCTACCATGAGCATTACCACTGTCAATTAGCCACTTTCACGAATTCGGCATTATCGTATCCTCGAGCACTGACAAAAGTTTGGGCGATTCCTTTCCTATCGATGGCGCGCACGCGAACAAACAAAAACGCAGCTACTAAGCTTGCTACGATCAGTACTAGAAGAAGCATTACTAATCCAGCAACGAAGCTTGGCACTGACATGCAGATTGTTTCTGGATCTTGCGAAGAAGCAGACTGGATAACTACAGTTTCGTTGTTTTGAGCTGCGTTGAGAGCGAAATTCACGTCTCCTGGTGCCACTACTTGAATTATTCTACTAGTGTTAACATCCGTCATTTCTTGAGCCTCACGTTTATATACATGACTAACGACTACTGTCATCACATCAGGACTTCTTCTCCTCCTCACACCTTGTAATTCGGCTGGTAGATTTTCAACTGACCTAGGTCTACCTCCAAGGGTAGCTAAGTTGCCCTCGAACTCTTCTGCAATATTGCTCTTCCTCTTCACGGTATTGTAGATCCCATGGTGTCCGGGTGGCGGTGGGGGTGGTAAATGAATATCGTTCCCGCTTTGTGAAGATACCTGAGGAGCAGGAGATGAATTTGTGGGGTTGGATGTAGAAGACGATGATGTTTGAGCTTGTGGAGCTGGTACTACGTCTGCATTTTGTTCAGAGTATGCACCGGTTGGTCCGGAAGGATGTCTAGGATCTGGGAAAGCAGGAGGAAGGCCATATTCACTGGAAGGTGGTGGTCCATACTCTGCATTCAAATTGTTGTGTCCTCCGAAGTCCCCACCACCAAGTGCGTTACCTAATGGAGGTGCTCCGTATTCACTGGTCAAACCCAATCCATGGCCACATTTGGGTTCGGGACAGTTGTATCTGCACACTTGAATAACACACTGGAAGTGAACATTCATAGAATCTGGGAATTTGAATGCTTGGAAGTAAGCGAAAGAGACTACGGAAGCTGAAGGCCCAAAGTTCTTGATCTTTTGGAATTTGCTCATGATTTTGGGCCTCACCACACAGCCATATTGATCTACGAGCTGTATTGGGGCTCTCTTTCCGTCATGAGCGACACAGTTTCTCACTAGCATGTCAAATTTATTTTCGTCATCTTTGATAGCCAGTACCATCGTCATAGTTTGCCCAATTTTCACGATTCCTGATACTTCAGACGCCCAGGGACCTTTGCCTACTTGAATTTGCATCCAGCATTGCAAGTTGTCTCCGAGAAAGTTAGCCGTCACTGCATGTAACATGTCAACTTGGAACGGTCTGAAGGTAACGGCCTTCTCATAAAAATCATACCAGGTGCATCTCAGTTTCCTAGCCTGATCCCATACTTCTTGCACGTACGGATCGTACTGAATGATGATTGTGTTCTCCACATAGCTCCCGCTAGGCGTTGGTCCACCGTAGCTAGCAACATTGTGATTAGCCGACGAGGACATGCCACAGCTATTCAAGAAAATTTCGAAAGTTGCACTCAGATGCCCAGTTCCAGGCTTCAAATGAACACAATGGGAATCACTGTAGAATCCCTTCGAAAAAATCATTCCATAAAATGGTCGATCGAACTCTATATTAACGCGCATATGAGTCTTTTCGCACTGCACTTGCAAATGTTTTATTTGCGGCATATCCGGGGTTGCAAGAGGCCATGGATCATCGGAAGTTCCTCCTCCACCTCCACCTCCTCCTCCTTGTAACAATCCTGCAGGGACGTATCCAGGACCAGATAAGGGAGGACCATAAACAGCTCTGTGTTCAAGCGGAAGAGATGCAGAGTCCGAGAGGGGAGCATCGCAAAGTATTTCCTGCAAGATAATATCTTATTAGGCAAGTGCATAGAAATTTCAGAAAGTTGAGAACGACGCGGGTACCAGCACGCTGGTACTCAGATAAGGCAATGAGGAAATCTAATAAGTGAGAGTGCTTACCCCGAACAGTAGCAGAACTGACAAAATTCCAATAATGTTGTGTTTCAGTGACCTTGTCATGTTGTTCGTTGTGCCAGTGTTCAGCCGTTATATCGTTTCTGTAATGAAAATAATGAAAGCACCTTGACATTGAGTGGCAAAGCAGATGTGAGGAGCACCGCACCTCTCTGCACCTGACAGACTCTGACCTACTAACACACTCCGTAAGCACAGTTCAGCGTCCTGCATCGTGAATGCATCGCCAATTTATCTATCTAGCCACTTCGCGGCATCGCAACTTTTTTATCCAGCCAACATTGATTTATTACTTAAAATAGAAAAGCTAATGTGTCAACTTGGAAGAGAGATTGAACCATTCGAATAAGAGAAATTACATGTGTGAAAACTATAGCACCGTTTACAGAATGAGTGACATCTCATTATCGTTAGACAACCTCAATTTCTAAGATTTTACAGATGGTTTGTCTAATCTCACCTAACATTGAGGACAGCTGATTCAATATGGTATTGCAATGAAGTGAAGGGGTTATACAGTCAATAAATCAATTATTTGCCTTCTAACTTTCTAACGGCAGTGATAGATGAAACAAATATGGAGCATATGCTTTTTAGCTTTTGAGATAAAACTAGTTTCTATAGCAACATGAATACAGTTGAAATCGTTAAGTAGCGTATACTGGAAAATTCAGATGAATATAATCAAAATATCCTTATAATAAATTAGTTAAAACCATCTACAGATGATGCCAACATGATGGCGAAACCTTCATAGAGAAAGTTATTGTCATAGTTCCAGTTCATGGCAGAAGTACTTTGTTTTGATTCGTTTCATATCGGAAGTCGCACTTCTAATGATATTCTGTTCACTGCAAATTGTTTTTCATTTCAAGTAACTGTACTTTTTATAGATGAAAAAATGAAAATTTTTAATATGTTGTTTTGATTTTGGTAAATAAATATCATTGTCAACATTATTATCAGTAATTCAAGCATGAAGTTGAAATCGCGAAAAAACCAAAAATAATATTTATCAATAATTCTGAATTTTACATTATATCATAAAAAAAAGTAAAAACAAAAATTATATATATATTAATATTCGAGGATTTTCCAAGTGGCAAAAAAGGTGGAAATTTTGATATGNTTATCTCCATCAAAACATAAATTGTTTAATTTAGTTTAATTTCGAATAATTATTTCGAAATAGTATCATATCAATTATTAATTTAACTAATAATCAATATTAATAAAAATATCATATATGATACGGACTGGTCACTCTGTATGTCAATATTTCCCCGCAGCCTGAATTCCCTCATTGCAGAATCTGGCCCAAAGTGCTTTCAAAAATTCGCAAATTATCTTGAACTCTTCCGGCTGATCTCTAAAAGTTGTCGAATCCGATCGATAAAAACCACTTTCTCGTTTCACGAATGTTGTGATACGTTTTTTGTAGAGTCTTTGACGGAAATAAGCGATTAAATCAGTCCTACTTCGGTAGTATTCAAAGCCCGGCCTTGCGTTATCAGTCGCTCTAATAAATAATAAGAGAAATGCAGATGCCGAGGTATTGGAGCAAAGTATTATCTATTTTTCACCATCGACCGACATTCCTGTTCACTTAGAAAGTGGAACAAGTGCTCTCGTAGGTTTCAGATCTGAATACTATCACTTCGCCATTAATACTACTAACTGAGACGTACGTTTATGGTTTTCGGTTACACGGTTCGATTTCCACAAACGTGCGGTAGTAGAAGATATACACAAATAGGTATATTAGATTGCGGTAAAGCTGTTACTCTAAGGAAAAAAAATTCGTCAGTGAACTTGATGGAAGAAACTTCAATTTTCTAATTTTGATGATATTTTGCGTAGAATCAGTAGACATCAAAAAAGTCACTTTTCCACATACTAAAGTGGCCACAAACATCATAATTCATCATATTGAACTATCACCAATGTCACTATAAAAATTGGATCGTAATAAAAAACTAACGACAAATTCACTACGCTTCTAGAATCGGTCAACTGACACTTTTTGTATCTGTCAATTGAGTTTTTTCAAATCTATCAACTGACATTTTTCAAATTTATCAATGACACATTTCAAATCTTTCAACTGATAATTCAATCGCAACCATACTTTCTGCAACTTCATTTGAATATTCTCTTTCTCACTCTCTTTCAGACTCAACTTTAGACGTTTTTTTATTATAACTCAACCTAACCTGTCAACATTTCCTGACCTATCCACCTATCCAGGTATAATTAGTATGCCCCTTTTACGCTTTCATACATTATAAGTAATTAGGTATATCAAAAACCAGGTCGTAAAAGAGGCAATTTACAATTTTCATTTCCATATCCACAGTTGACACTTTTTGATCTGGCATCCTTACTTTACCTCAGTATCTCAGTGAGAATTGAGAAATCTTAATAACTGATCGCACTCTTTCATAGAACACTGATGGTTTCTCTATTACAGCTGCCAGACTGAGTCATGGTCGGTGAGAAGCCCCTTCCTCAAGATGACAGCCATGACTCCGGTAGCTGTAGTTATTTCACAACTTCATTTCCAGAATGAGTAAAATCCATCGAGTACGCCAATTACCACTTTACCCTAGTCTCCCCCCCACCTGTTATCAAGAATCCAAATTATTTATTGTCAGACTGTGGAAAATTCTACTGTTTCAAATGGATGAAACGGAAACTGGATTTGTATTTACAACCATGATTTCTTTTATAGAAATGATAAATATCGAATATGTTCACTGAATAACGTCACTGAGTATCATTACTTTGAACACCCCTGTTATTGATCAGAAATTAAATATATTTCATTGAAAACTATTTTTCTCCGTTTTTAAAACGTTATTCATTGTGTTTTAGTTGGTTTCCGGGTTTTTCAATGGCCTTCTTTGGTTACAATCTCCAAACGTTTCAACTACAACTGCGGCAGTCATCTTCAGTGGCGTGATCAAAGTACTCTTCTTGACGTATCAACTGTTGATACGTCGCAGTTGCAGTTGAAACGTTCGGAGATTGTAACCAAAAAAGACCAGAGCAAAACCTGGAAACGAGCCAAAACATTGACGCTAGTCGTAAAAACCTACATTCCTATGTTATTCACTCTATTCGTGTACGTTCTACAGTCCGGTTTCAGTATCCTCTCGGCCTACCTAACAAGACAGTTTGCCCCTCAGGGAACAGCTTTTTACAAAGATGTACGTAATACTTCACGATCTGGTTTATTATGTTCGACTAGTTATCCGGTCACCATAGTTGAACAAAATATAGTTGTTGAAAAATCTTTGGTTTCGTGATTATATTATAGGGCCCTCTGACTATGAGCTATCATGATAATGTGAATTTTTGAGTGGGTTTTGAACCCTCTGTATCCAATTATTATCCCTTCTATCGAGTCGTTTTGAACGTCATAAGACATTCCAATGGAATATACAACTTATTATTATGCAAAATTTCAGCTGCGTAAAATAGTTTTGATTTGCCGATTTCATGTAAATTGCATTACTATTGCAAAACAAGACCCAACGCAACCAATATAAAATGTCCTAGTTTTTAAAATTCCTTATTCCAGTCGTGCCTTATTGAATGTGTGATTTTCTATTAAATCCAAATAAGGCTATTAAAGTTTGGTCACACGTGATGCTAACTAAATTTATTTTGACCCTGTATATGGTAACTTCATAAAATATACACTTTCATAATTGTGGTGAATTTCCTTTCTATGTTCCTTCCATTGCATCGCCGAGGAAAACTTCGTTTATGAATTTTTCATTTCAGGTCTAAGACTTTGTCCCTGAATATTATTTCTTAGAATATATGTCTTGTATTATGGATGGCAATATCGTCACACTGGTACCACAATTTTTTTTAAGGCGAATTATCCAAAACTTCAATTTGATAACTTTTTTCTACATTGTGCAGAATAACCCCACTTATGGAATTTTTATCTCCATCAAAACATAAATTGTTTAATTTAGTTTAATTTCGAATAATTATTTCGAAATAGTATCATATCAATTATTAATTTAACTAATAATCAATATTAATAAAAATATCATATATGATACGGACTGGTCACTCAGTATGTCAATATTTCCCCGCAGCCTGAATTCCNAACCATGATTGTATTTTTCATTTATCCAGAAAATAACCAAGACTGGTAATGAATTGAAAGAAAAAATGATTCTCTTACCTATTTGAAATGAAAGTACCGCAAAAAAGATAAAATTTGAAACAAAAGTACTTACTACTCTGTGTAATTGATGACTAGTTTATTTTGTGGAACTCATGATCGCTATTGTCTAATTTCCACTAGTTACAGAAAAGTATTTTCATTCATTTTATCAAAGTAAAAATACTACATAGTACCATTTGACAATTACAAGCTACAATACGAAGTTTTGCGATCAACAAATGAGTAAGAAAAAAATTCAAATCTGAGTATTTTCATCGAGACAAAAGTAAGAAAAACATTCTTGACGCATTTTTTGGAAAGTTACTTGAAATCATGAAATGTTATAACTGTTCTTAATCAAATTATAGAGGAATCTTCTCTTCCCGCAGGTTTGGTTGCCCAAACTTACATGAGAACAGCTTTTTGTTGTACTAATATAGTTTCGTCAAAATCATTTTGAGATGAAATATTGGTTCTAGAAATAAATAAATCATGTGAGAATCATTCAAATTAAAAATATAAAACACTGTCATAACATAAAAAACCTAAAAAACAAAAATATCCCCGGCTGACTTTAAATAAAATACCGTTACTGAAGAACAAAGAAATGAAAGAAAGCAGGTGGAGGCATAATTTATTTCCAAGTAGATACTGACATGAAATCAGTATACAAGACAGGAAACTGAAAGACTTATACTAACACAAGAAAATATCAATTTGATGAAAAGAAATTGAAATTTGAACGGGATTGAAATGAAAATATATGAGCTGAAATGAACATGAAATAATTGTGAATGAAAATGTTGAGAAAAACATGGCATAAAAATTACTGGATTGGATATAGCAGAGAAAGAGAGACATGGAAATAACGTAAATGAAATGTG